TCTATATATATATATATATATATATATATATATATATATATATATATGCACATATTATGTTATTCAGACTCCATAGACACCTTTTATTTTTGGAACAAAATATAATTCGAAAGTCCAAACAATTTAAAAGATATTTATTAAGATGTTAATTTAATCATTTCCATGTATATCTATTTACTATGAACTGCAAAGTAAACCCATTAATCGAGTCAGATTAAATAATAAGTGAATGTCATTATTATATAATTTAATCAGTTGTTATCAAGTCTGTATATACATGTAAGCTCATAATTGCACATATCAAACATCAATGACCACTGCAACAGTTATGAAATCAACCCTAAAAAAAAAACAAACGAACAGAGATTTGGTCACGAAATAATTGTCGTACCAATTTCGTTGTTGTTTTTTTTTTGTAGTGCAAAATCATAATTAACGAACGTTACACATACATATAGTTCACTTCCGAAACATGTATATATATATTATATATATATAAACCCTAATTACATTCATAAGAGAATGTCAGCATTCACTAGCAAATGAGGTAAGATTGATTCTCTTATCATCATTTCATGAGACATATAGAGGTTCGGTTCCTAACATCACTAAAGATTCCATTTCTTAATTGAGAGTTTCACATAATCTATATTTAATAAATAATTAAGTCGAAGAATTAATATACCTATACATGAGTTTCTATATCTTAATTAAGCATCTCGAATATCGAAATACTTAAAAGATTAAGATTCTCACACAAATTCTATATACTCGAGATGCTATGGTGATCGAATACATGAAAACGTATTGGAATCCATCCATCCATCCATAATTTCATGCCCAATAGTGTTCTATTCAGAAACAAAGATACCGAAAACTCCGTATACGTACAAATACATGTCCATATACGTATAAACATACGATCCATGGATAAGATTCTGTCATGTTTTTCATGTTAAACTAAACTTTCTCAACCATATAGTGAGATCGAAAACTTTCCAGTCGATAAAAATCGAGGAGCGATCAAACACCAAAGAAAATATTCTTTTTTTTTAAACTCAGATATATTCCTCGTAAGTAGCAACAACAACAGCAACAACGTAGGCCACAAAGTAAGCATAACACAACAGACGTATATAGATACGGACATACATATAAACCATACATATATATACCGATCATATAGCCGGACCGGAGTAATTAGCCATGGCAGACTGACCTTGAGGTTGCGACTGCATCGGTGATGCCTTCTGCTTATTAACCCTCTTCCTCTTCTTATCGTAGCTAACCCCACGCGCCTTGGCCTGAAAGTCCCTAACCTCACGTAGATAGATCCTGACGGCGCGTGCGCCAAAAGGGTTGGTCTCGGGGGGCCCACCGTTCTCCTCGTAGGCGGCTCGCAGGCGGCCGATGAGAGCGTCGAGGCTTCCCCACGCTTGCCTTAGGGGGCAAGGGCATGGAGCCGGTGGGTTCGGCAGGCCGAAGAAGGTACAGCTCTGGTGATGCACTTTGGTCTTCCCGAACTGGTCTAGGTACCTATACAAGAATCAAAATAATACTTCCATATTGACAGATATAAACATACACATGTATGTGTGTGTGTGTGAAGGTACCGGAGGAATTCGAGGACGTGAGCGCCGCTGCAGGAGGGGGAAGAGAGGGGAGGACGGTGGTTGCGAAGGTACTGGCAGAAGGTGTTCCAGTCGCGGCGTTTCTGGTTTTCGTAGCGGCTCAAGGAGGAGGAGGAGGAAGACGACGAAGAAGGAGATGCTGCTGCTGTGGTGATCATGTTGGTGGTTTTCGGATTAGGGTTTTTATCTGGATGGTTAGGGATCAAGTCCATGGCTTGTTTTTGTCTTAAATTCTGGGGGAGGAGGTATGCATTTGTCTGTCTAGGTTTTCTTGAAGTGTGGTTTGAGGGAATTAGGGTTCTTTTTTTTTCTGGAATTATTTATCTGTGGAGAGCGAGTTAGGGCAAGGTCATGAGTTTTCCAGTGATGGGTGTTTGATGCATAGGCTTTTTGCTCGATCTTGGATCTATTGCTGTGTGCTTTAACGTAACCAAACACAGAGAGAGAGAGAAAGAGAGAGAGAGAGAGAGAGCTGGATGTCCAGAAATGGCGAGGCAAAGAGAGAATAAACCTGAAAAAAGAGAAATAAGAACAGATATGGGTTGATTCTGTTCCTTTTTTTTTTGCTTTCTTCTTGTTTCTCTATGCCATGTTTTCTACTTTAGGGGATGAAGAGACACATATATAGCTGCAAGCCTGCAAGAGCATGGAGGAGAGAGAGAGAGAGAGAGAGAGAGAGATGAGGCTGATAAGATCAGCAGCACATAAATTAGCCCTTCAACCCAAAAGAAGCAGAGATGAGAGAGAGAAACATAGAAGGGAACTCAGAGTTACACACAGTAGAAAAAGATGAACTCATAGCCGGAGAGAGAGAGAGAGAGAGAGAGAGAGAGAGAAAGAGAGAGACTAATGGGCCAAGTGGGGTGAAGTTGAAGTGACCATTGAAATGACACGATGAGCAATCAATAGACAGTGCTCTTCCTCTGAATTTAGTAGCCATTGTCCTTTTCTTTCATCTTTTATTTACTTTTATATATTGATTTACAATTTGTTTTCTATTATGAATGTGTACGGATACTCAGAAATAATTGGTTTCTAACTTTCTACATCACAAATTGTTATGGAAATGTATATATACATATGACAAAAGACAATCATCTATCACAAAATTCTGAATTCGTTTTCCACTCTTTCAGGTAATATAATAACGAAAGAGTATATTACGAAAATTCATGCATATCTCAGTTTAACCCTAGATTCATAGGATACATTAATGTATATATATATTAAATAAGCATGTGAGGGGAAGGTCCCAACTCAGATGGCGGGTTCGATTTCTCCTGATATCAAGCTTTTCTCTGAATCGGTCACCTCGTACCTACTCGGCGTGACTTGCCGACTGTTACGTTGAGTCGTTGGGTTTACCGTACACAATAACGTGTCATTCGTCTGATCCGTTGGACTATTAATTCCGGGTTATGAGGCGTTGCGGTGTCCGATCCGAAATATCGAAGACGGTTTTCCATCGTTATAACAAAAAAAAATAAGCATGTGAGATGAATGTAAACAAACCTAGGTGGTTTGCCTTTTACATGGTACGTAGAGTCAAGATACTGCTGCCATGAAGGGCGCGTGAGGCTCCACGCGTTTAGAAAATCCATCTGTCTGTATAAAGAAGGCAAAGAAACAACATGACATTTATTGAAGCACCAAGCTTTCCGAGTAACATAAAAACAACGAAATTCACATTTATTTAATTTAGTTTAAATCCCACCAAAATAGATTACTATTATATAAATATATCATTTTGAAATTTGACATGTAAATACATTAATTTGACAATTTCTTTCAACTCCCGTATATATGATCACCGTTTTGTTAATGCCTAATCTGTCTTATTAGATTTTGATTTTATTTCTCATTAGTCTATTTCCTTTTACTTTTCATTTATTTGTTTTGATAATCTGTATTTAAGTACCTCTTCCTATTACGGCAGAAAAAAACAATATATATATATATATACATACATATATATTCATAAATGAGAATTTTCCTTTAATAAACAAAATAACAAGGTGAAAGCTTACATGAACAAAATTATAAAGAGGAGAAAAAAGAAAGGGAGAAGAAGAATAAAACAGAAGCAGGATCAGCTGTAATCAGTAAAGGGTGTTGAAGTTATATTAACACAGAACAAAGAACAAAACCATCACCTGTTCTGTTCTGTTCTGTTCTGTTCTGTTTCCCAAGAGGTGATTATCTTCAGACATGAACATAAAGCCCCCTTTCAGGTTCTGGTTCTTCCTCCGGTTTCCATCTAAAAACCCTAATGCCGAGTCCCTGGATCATAAACACTCCCTCCTAAACGTTCATTTGCTCGTACTCTCCTCCGTTTTCCGACGACTCCATCCGCCCTGCACAGGACAGTATCTTCACTTTCTGGGTTCATTTAAAAATGGCGGAGTAGACTGAGATAATGGATTAGGGTACTGGCAAATGCTCAAGAACAAAATACCAGCTCCTGGCATCTGAATTTCATTGCATCTTTACCCGTCTTTTCGGTTAAACAGATGATTCGAAAAGGATATATATATATATATATATGTATATGTAATATGGTGTGCACAAAAGGAGGAACCCTACTTTTGTACTTCCCTGTAAATACCTTAATCAAGGTCAATCAAAGAAGCCTTAGAGTGCCAAATCCACAGGAGGGTCAAACAGTCCTAATAGGGTTTGATCAAAGATTTGGTTCAGTTAAGCAAAAGCAAAGAGATGCACCCGAAAACAGAATCCATTAGACGGAAAATATCTCAGTTCAGTGTTTGGATCAGTGTTTCATTAAGATATACCAGAGAATGCTTCTTCATATATGCAGATGTAAAAAAAAAGTCGTGAGCTTTACCCGATAAATCATAACCCGCACTGCTCCTGCCATCATGAGAGCTGTTGCCCCATTCGGAAGGCCGAGAATGTGTCATGTGCATGCCATGGGGTGCTTGCATCATGAAATGACCTCCACTCATGGTAGCTTGATGATGATGATCATCATTCCCCCTCATGGCATGTCTTCCTGATGATTCCATACCACCAGACTGGAAACCAATGCCAAGCATTGTCGCATTGCCAGTGGGAGATGGTAGCCTGTTTCCACTGCTGGACGCGTCGCCTTTCACTCCACTGCTTGTTTCCTTCTTTCTGTCAAGTTGAAAGGTTCCGAGAATCACCTGTTGTTTGGGCAAATGAACAAGCAACCCGAGTAAGGGAATCAACCAAATCAAAAGTTTTATCCTTATAAATTCATAGAAAAACTAATCATCGATTCCAACATCCAGTTTTCAAGAACGTTTATGGCGAGATTGATACAAGAGGATGTGATATGATAGACTATTTGTTGGCAATTCTGCCTGACCCGTGAATATGTGCATCAGATAGATGGAAAAGAAGGCATGTAGGTTTATAATCTAATACAAAAGCACTCGCATATATGTGTGTTCTTCCATAAAACTGCAACTACAACATTACAGAGAAATTGTACCTGAACTGGACCGGCAGCCTTTAGATGTCCCCCGACCCCTCCACCAATGATCCGACCATCTGAACCAGATAAACAAACACTAAGTCCACCAGTTTTGCTTCCCAGCTCTGCCCGAACAAAAGATCCACACAGCGAGACAATCTCGTATTGACCCTGAAAAAAAGAAATCATGCAACAGTAGTTTGCAATCGTCAAGTCATTGTATGCAACTCAAAACCCAAAAGCAAGCGTGTCTCAAGAAAGGGTCCTTAGCTTTAGCGAGGTAATGCATAACGTATAATAGACATGAAAATTCTGAAAGTATAGCTTGGTGAATAATACCCAATAACCCATTCTTTTGAAAGTATAGCATCAAGAACAAAATTTTTACAGAAAATAAATAGCAACAAGGGAACCACCTCGTAAGATACGATGCCCCCTGATGTAGCTGGTTGATGCAAGGATGCGTTCGAGATGGTGCCTGATGCAGAAAGAACACATAGTTCATGCTTGCTTTGTTGTGCAAAAAGCACAACTTTCTGGGCCACATCCTATCAGATCCATCCATAAAACACATTAAAAAGAGTTAATTTATTCTCCGATTCACTTTGCATCAGTAGAAAGATGGCCCCTTTCATATATGAGCCCTGTAAACTCCTCTGCCATAAAACCCCATAAGTCTGCAAGTTTAGGCAAATCCTAACCTTGAAAGAGGGCCTAGAAAGCTATATTAGATTTAAAGATTCTTGAATATATCATAAAATGCGTAAAATTGCCGGCATGACAAAGAATGCATACCTCGCCAGGAGCTATATTAACGATATGTGGAGTAAAGCTTTGCCCGGTTTTTCCTGCATCAACCACCGGAAAGATTCATAGATGCTTAATCACAATGTGCAAAAGCATTTTGGAGATTTTAATGATCACACATATAAGCAGTTTCAGATTAAGGCTTCTTGAACAGAAACAAAAGCCATCAAATTCCAGCAACATGGCTAAGTGAAAGGCACAAGAATCAGATTCAAAACCGAGAAGATATCAGCTCGCTCACAGATATCAAATTTGACCGGAACTTGTAAGATTTTGGTAAACCTCTGATAAATCGGCAATAACGCCAAAACTTTTACCAAAATTTCGAAACATTTGCAACAACAACGCCTAACTTCACCAGAAAAATCGAAACTTTGCAACGATAACAGCGAATTCACTAACAATTCGACGAGGTAAACAAAAGGGTTTTCTCGAGAGAGTACCAACCTAAGGAACCCAACTGGGATTTTCTCGACGACGCAGAATAAGACGACACCGCGCCTCCGGCTTCCCTCCTAGCCCTAGCAGACGAACTGCTCGCAGAAGACGCCATTTTCTTCGCCGCTAGGGCTTGCTCCGGCGTCCCGTACTTCCTCGGCCGCCCTCTCTTCCTCTTCGTCGGTTCCATCGGCACCGTCACCGCCGAAGACGGCACCGAGTGAGGGAACACCACCAGGGAGGACCCGTCGTTCGACGGCGGAGGCGGAAAAAGGCCATTGTTAGACGGAACTGTAGCGGCTGAAGAGGCGACGGCTCCGGCAGTGGAGGCGGTGGTTGGGCGGTGGTGGTGGTAGTAGTAGGGAGAACTGAGATGCTGCTGTGGTTGATGGTGGCTTTCGTTGGGTTCCATTCCTTTTTAGAGAGAGAAAAAATCTAGAGATAGAGAATAAGGGATTTTTTTCATCTTTTCTTTTTCCTTTTTGTTTCTGTAGGGTTTTATTATATTATTGCATTTCCGTTTTTTCTTTCTATTCTTTTTTTTTTTAATTATGAAGAGAAGCAATCGTGTCGTCATTTGGTGTTCCGCATGTATTCTCAGCCGTTGGATCAAGACTTTGACTTTAATGTTTGACTTTTGAGTTTTTTTTCCGGTAAAGCATATCTTCTTTTTGGGTTTTTTTTTCCATTTGGCATTTCAAGAAGATAAAATAAAAAATTGCTCAGAAAAGAGACTATTTTTTTTCTTAAGGTGACACGTCAGAAAAATACTTTGATGTATAAAAAATTAAAATAACCAGTCCAAATGTTGGGAACATGAATCATGTAAAAGAACATCCGGTACCATTAAAATTTGATATATTAATTTCTTTGGAATAGATTGTTTGGCAAAATTAATTCAATTAATTTATGGATCATATTTCACTTTTTTTCATGGAACAAGTAAATATTATTAACGATTTTAGGATTAACATATAGCAATTTTTATCTGATTATTTATAAAATTATTATATTTATTTAGTTTTTATACTATATTTTATTCGTTCCAATTCCTAATGCTATTAAAACCCATTCATTTCATACATTAAAATTTATCTTTCTTCAATATACCTCGCACAAAATGACTACCATGGTTGATTTATTTATAATACAATTCAATTTCTTAGCTAACGAAAATTTTATGTTCACTAAATTATTCTGATTTAATCGCATATGGCATCTCTCTCTTGTATTTTTCTTTCGAAATTCAAACTGATTTTAATCTAAAAAAAACTACAGGAATTAATACCTATTAAATATTTGGTTCAAACTCCTAAAAAACCTCCAACTTGCAAAAATATATACAAATAAACCTTCAACTTAAAAAATTATCATTCAATCCCCGAACTTGTAACTTGTCACTGAATAAAACCTCGAACTTGCAAATTATTGTTCTAATAAACATTTGACCGATTTGACCACAATTTCAAACGATCAGAAATCCACGTATTGACGGATTGTTGATGTCATTTTTTAAATTAAAATTGATAACGTGTATAAGGTGATATCAACAATCCGTTAATACGTAGATTTCCGATCGCCTGAAATTGTGGTCAAACTGGTCAAAGGTTTATTAGAGTAATAATTTGCAAGTTTGAGGTTTTATTCAGTGACAAGTTACAAGTTCGGGGATTGAATGATAGTTTTTCAAGTTGAAGGTTTATTTGTATATATTTTTGCAAGTTTGAGGTAATATTTTTTGTATAATATTATATAACAATCTTATAAATTTGGAATGTTGATAAATTTTGTTTCACTAAATAAACAGGAAAACTTTAATTAGTATCAGATTTATACAATGAATGAGATAATTAATTAAACTTCCTTGCCTCTCCTATATTTTTGTGAACATTTCCCAAGTAATCACAATTGGGCTTTCCGGTTGAGCCTTCTAAATGAAGGCTGAAAATGGGCCTCACATGGGCCAGGCCGGGTCCAATAGAAAGGCTATGAATTTCATTCAAAAGAGGAATCCAACCGTTACAAAATCATATCAAAAAATACATTTCGATTTCATAATTAAAATTTTAAAATTCTGATACGTAAAAACATATTTACAATTCCAAATATTGAAACATATCCTATTAATTTTTTTGATATTTAAATTGCTTGATAATTTATATAGATAAAAACGAATTTCTGTGTTTCACTTGTTCATCCCAATTTAACTACTAAACGTGTTATATATCTATATATATATATATATATATATATTATAAAGCACAAAATGGATCTATCAAATTTAGAAGACAAAATAGATATAGAGAAGACGAAGATAAAAAGTTCTTGTTCTTGCATCAAGATCCGATCACTTGCTTCTTCCACAAGAAAACTTAAACACAATAAACCCTAATCTTTGCTTGATCATTTTATTACAAACTGCTTCTGAAAAAACACGACGTTTCGCTTCTTAGTTCCCTTCGTCGGTCGATTTCAAGTAAAGGGTCTCTCCCCCGTCGCCGGAGCTTCCTCCCCTGCCTTCTCCACCACCGTTTCCGATCTCAGGCTTCCCCCTGCTGCTGAAGTCAGGGAACCCTCCACTTCCGCCGGAAGTTCCCACCTCGCCCTGCAAGATATGGAGACCGGAGCTGGAACTCATCCCGAGCTGACCGTGGTGTATATGGCTCTGTGTATAGAAACTGGATGAGCGGCCCGCCATTAGAGCCTGTGGCGTCATCTGAGCCGCCGCCTGGTTCTGCAAGTAGTGCGAGGCTCCTGGCTGCATCATCCCGCCACCAGATGCATACTGCGTGCAAAATATGTATTCTGATTTTAGTATATGGTCTGATGGATTCACGGTCCAAGATCGTCGTATAAAATTCAATCGTTTTCGTACCTGGGTATGCACACTCGGGGGTTGAGGCTGAGAATCTGCAATTGCAGCCAAGTACATGAGGTTCCTTTGAAGCCTTGCTTGGTTCCTGTAAACATTATATGATCAGATTAACGCTGATATCATCGTTTCGATTTCGGGTTTTAAGACGAAAATACTAAGGCTTGTTCTTACTCAGCGCACTCGCTGAGCTTCCCCGAATTCTGAGACTCAACGATCTTCAGAATCAGTGACTTGTTCTCGTCGAGATACTGCAAATCGGACAACCAATATGAACAGATAAGTGATCAATCTGATGATCATACTTAGAAAAAAAAACAGCCCATTTCTAGTTTTCATAGGAACTCGCACTGTATATATGTACGTATAATCGTATATACTATGATATCCAAATCGCTTTATATGTATTATAAACTGGTGGCCAAGAGCAATATACATATCATAAACAGTAAGACGACGACACGGGATCTGCTTCACAGAATCCGTAGTTTCCGAGATTACAAAAATGTCGAAGCATCACCAAAAGGCAAGACGAGATTTTCTTCGGAAAGATTTCGGACAGGACCACACTGGTTATTACAACTATTGGACCAGACCATGGACCACGTCGATTGTGGAAGAGGAACACATGGACTGAGCACAAACCATATATATATATATATATAAGTCTCTATATACGGAACCCTAAAAGACATCTGTTGATTACACACTCTTGTAAGGTCCACGAGATTACACACACAGAATATATAAATGCTTCTGTATATTGCACCTCGGAAAATCCCTGGACCTTTAACCAAGATGCAAAGTAGATGCACAAACATCATTCCATTTCACGAGATTTTGTGGGTTTTTCTAAAGAATAAACTATACGGTTTTCTCATGTTCATGTATTCTTGATAAAGCGTGTGTATGTGTGTGTATATATATATATTCTTTACTTGTTAGTCTAAGTTTAAGTAAAGGTAAGCAAACGATGGTCGATGTGTTGCATAAGGTACTTGAGCAAGAAGAATCTCATGCTCACCACTCTTCTGTTGTCAGAAAGGCGTGAACAAGAAAGATCGAATCTTGACGAATTTAATCTGAAGTACGGTCGGTGTATGAAGATAAGCACGGTCTTAAATAACATCAACGACCAAAGTGGTAACAACATTCGAGGCTGTGCACAAACAATCTTAGAGACAAGATTAGGGCTCTTTAGGAACAACTAAACCAGTTGATACCCAATTCGGTTAGTTCAACCGATGAAACGAGGACGTAAACCGTATGTCCCATCCTAATTCGAGTCTCAAGTTTGGGAGAGAAGTGCAAATTTTAATCACATGGTTTACTTCCGAACCCGTAATTAGTCTCGGCCTCGGCTCAAAATACCCAATTATTAAAAAAAAACTAAACCGGTTGATTCTACTGAGAGATTAGACAAAAACCATGTTTCTAAAACGTTTTTTTTTTAAAAAAAAGGAAAAGTCTGAGAAACCCTAATACCTATGGCAACGGAAGAAGCTTTCTGTAAGAAAAAAGAAAACAAGAATCAAAAGCATATAAACAAACACCCACCAACCGACCGACATCACACACAACATACATAACACAAACATCAAATCCAAAATTAACTATTCATGCCCAAAGAAAAGGAAAAACTATCACGGATATTAAAAAAAAAGGAAACCCTAATAATAAAAACAAAAACTTTTCTTAGATTGGGACCTTTTATCAGAAATAAAACCCCCGTAGCTTGCAAATTAACGACCCTCCATGTATTTTTTCTTTTAATTTAGAAAAAAATGATCCTTTTGCTTTTAAGAATCCAAACACCATATCCTAGAACATGTATAATATAGTTGAACAAAATATAAAAAGAAAACAGGCAGGGAAAGTGGAGGAGAGAATAAAGAAAGAAGAGGAGGAGGAGGAGAAGAAGGAGAAGAAGAAACCTGTTGGATATGATCAGAGGTGACATTGCTGGGGTAGTAACCAGCCATCATGGGCTGCATCTGCATCAGGTGCTGTTGCATTTCTTTTGCTATTTTATATATATATATATATTATAAATTGTATAAAAGCTACAAACTTTTTATTATAAATTTATTTTTTATATAACACAATGTTTCTGAGACACCCCACCAGAACCCTAGAGGAAAAGGAGAGCTCAAGAACACAGAGACGCGATCTCTCTTTCTCTCTCTGTATGTAGAGGCCTGTGTATATATGGCTCTGTGTATAGAAACTCTTACTGTTTGTGTTCTCTCGCTTTCTCTCCTCCACAAAAGTTGAGAGAGACAAAGAAGTCTCTTAAATAGATAGAGAGAGAGAGAGAGAGAGAGAGAGAGAGAGAGAGAGAGAGAGAGAGAGAGAGTCATCTCTCTTGGAATTGGGGTTTTGTTTGTTGGCATCTTTCTGTCTCATCCTATCTCTGTCTCTGTGAAAAAGAGGAGGTCACGTGATAGGTCATGCATCAGTGCATACATATGTTAGATTTCCCGTCTATACATACAACTATATCCATGTATATTTGCGTATTTGATTCTTTGGTTGGAAAAACAAAAGCTTTTTCACATCCATCAGTGAGATTGATCCTTGACATTTTTACACACATTTATTTCTCGCTAGGAGTTTTTTTTTTTGGTATCCTAAATCAAATTTCACATTAATTTCGGGATTAAAAACTAGTCATTTACTTTGAATCAGACGTTCTCTTTACAAACTTTACATTCGAGACAAAACATAGCCATTTTTTACCGGTTGAACTATCATTAACTCTAATGGAGATTAATTTTAATGGTCCATACGAAACTAATCTCATGCAATTTAGAAATAAATTTTAGTGTATATATATATGTATTGGATATTAGAGGGCAAGTGTGAATTAATTTATTTGTTAATACCAAAAATGGGATCCGAGAATCGAGATGATTCTTTTTAAACTTGTAAAGCAAGGAGGTTCTGCTGCATTTAATACTTGCCATATTATTAGATTTATTTCATACACTATTGTAGATTTTACGCAGTATTCGTAAATAATTTAAATTTAAAACAATATAGATGTATATTATAAAAATGAAAATAATAAATTTTAAAAAAAAAAGTGTGTACGTGTGTGGTGGAATCACGTTGAAGAGGAATATGTGCGTTGGTCTTATAAGACCGCTTCGGTCCAAAAACACACTTCGTGTCAGTTCTGCAGCTGTATGACGTCACACCCATTCCAGCTGGTTCCGACCCCACGCGCTCTTTCACGCGATTTTTTTATATTTTTGTCTCGTATATTTGTTTTCTTTTAAATAGATCATTTTTAACCAAATTAAAATATAATTTAAAGAAAAAAATTATGTTATAAATAAAATTTTAAGAGAATATAAATAAAAATATTTATTTTAAAACAATGAAAATTTAAAATAAAAATTTAAGCTGTTAATTTAAAAAACATAATTTTATTATGTAAAATATTTTGTTAAATCCTATAATATTTATAATAATTATAATTGAAACGGTTATAAAAAGTAATGCTCTTTTTCCTTATGATATACTTATTGTTCATCGCGTGATTATATCTTTTTTATTTTATTTTATTTTTACGATAGGATATCGCATGTTAATCAATTTCTGTAATAAAAAAAACAGCATTAACAGTTTATTAATTTGTCAATGATTAAAAAACTGTTTACTAATTTTAAAAACTGCATTATTTTTCTTATTTAATGCATTACATCAAATTGCATTCGAAATAAACGTGATTTAGGATTTTTGTGGGGAAAAAGAAAACGTGAATTAGTATATGGTTGTTATTGATCAGTTGAAAAACAAATACCAAATCACGTGATTAGTATATGGTTATAAAAAAAATATAATGTTTTATTCGTTAGAGAAATCAAAGACACCGTTTTAAAATTGTATTGTAGTTCACATTTTACATGCAAAGTCATAACTATAAAACCCTTAACGTGCAAAATAATGTGACATCGTTTAACAAAAATAATAATAATGTGATATCCACGTATGTTTTATGTCCTTTTTCGTAAAGTGTTTTAATTATCAGTTATAATTATTGGGTTTCAGTTGCTAATAAAGGCAAATAAAAATACATAAAATGGTTAATTTGTATTCATTATACCATTTTTAGATTCCTATTCTGATGGGATTTATGCACGAAAATTTTATATTATTCATTAAATAAATTGTATTGTATTACAAAAAAATAAATTGATATTTTTTATAGAAAAATAAATAAATTGATATTTTCCGGTTTAACAATGGTAAATGAAGTTCATTTCCTTTCAATTTAACTATTTTAATTTTTTTTTATAATCCGAAAGTTCACCGAACATTTGACCCGATTATATCTCCCAACGAATCAGAAAAATCCATGTAAATATTTCTCTCCCCAAGTGGAGACTCGAATCCGGATTGGGAATGAGCTTTACTCCCTTCCTTACCGTTTGAACCACCTAATCTTGGTTTTAGTTATCATTAGGTTTTTAATACATCTAAAAATTATAATGTCACAAATCCAAGACTCCAAGTACACAATACAATAGATCTTCATCCAGCTAAAATATTTTAAATATCTTTACTATATACTAGGATTAATTTTATATTATCTTGCTTTTAGATTAAACTTATTTTTATTTTTGTAATGACTAGTCCAAATATCTATTATAGTATCATGTAAATCTATTTCTCGTTAGAGTTTTTCTTTTTCAAAATTTTTGAAACGGTTAATTTAGAGGCGATAAATAAATAGTTAACACATAAAAGGGATTTGTATTTATTTATTTATTTATTTTTGTAAAAGAGAGTTTCGTTACAAAAAAAAGTTATAAATAACGTAGATTTTTTAGAAAACAAAATGAAGAAGAAAAGAAAATGGAGCATCGACAATAAATATGAAATGGGTCCCAAAAGTTCACATGGACCTCTGAATTCAGCGATGTCAAATCCAATCTTCTACATATTAATAACCTTTTTTTTTTTAATTAATGAGACTTCTCTTTGAAGTTCGTATATTATTTATAACAAATAAAAATCACCAAGAAAACAAAACTTATCCCGAGGCACTTTTCCCAATTTCAAATTCATGCTCGAGTTGTCATTGGACCAATATAATTATATGAATATATACATACGTGATACGTGTGTATATATATATATATATATATCAGACGGGATATATACAAGTTTAAGAGATTCCTAGGGAACTATATATAATGATTTTTATCACATGATTCGATAATGATTAGTCGTGTTTTAGTCACGAGTAATAGTATTAGTAATTATGCAAATATCCTCTAATTGATAAATTGTTGTTGTTTGATTGTGACTTGTTGTAAGTTAAAATTACGTGGCTAACATCTTGGATTTGAATTTATTTAATAGAATAAAAAATGGGTCTAATCTGTAAAAAGTTCGGTCCATGAAAAGTTCTAGAAATTTTAATAGAAAATCTGCAGAATATTTTTGATTTATTTTGAAAATCAAATCAGTTTCAAAGATGCAGAAAATCTATCAAATATGATAAATATCAATCGAAATAATATCAAAATAAAATCTAATTTAAATTTTGAAAATCAAATTGATTGTATTTTGAGATTCTTTTATCTACTATAAATAGATGTATTGGTTTAGTTCATTCTATATAAAAAAATAAAAATAAATATTCTAGAGGAAAAAACATTCACATATTTGCTCATATCTCTCTCAGAATTCGTTTGGTATTTGGAAAGCTTCTTCCGAATACACGGTCATTGTATCTTAGAGGTGACACGGAAATAGAACTTAAGAAAACTGTGTTTCACAGGCCTCAACAAAATAATCTTTTATTTCAGGTACTTATCTGGAATCGTAGAATTGACGGAGTATTGTCGTCGTCAACAATCGCCATCCCAACACATCTATCATAATTTTATTTTGATAATAAAAATATCATGTTTTTTTATATTAAAGATAATTAATTTTTTTTAAAAAAACTTTTAGAACCAATTTCAAACTCATATGTACGAGGTGTAATATTGGACCGAAGAAGGTTCTATGAGCGTGTGTGTATATTTCATTAGCAGAAAAGTATGATTTGATATTTGCTTTTTTAGTGAAAAGTATTTACTTGCAAATTGAGATTTAAACACTCATATTCCATTTTTGCTGCAACGTAAACAGGATTCTATATAACTCTTAGACCAAACTTTTTACGTGTTCTATAGCTATGGACACGTTTAGATTAGTATCATCAATTAGATCAGTCACTATATTAAGATTGTAAATCTTAATATTTTAAGCTAAATCATATAAAATTAATAAAAATTAAATTTACGCATGTCTCTAATCATATTTGTTTTAGATCCAATATAGAACCAGATAACATTGTTTTTACATGCCATTAATTAGAATGTATTTGTTGTTTCTATTGTAACCCAAATTTGGATATCTAAACTGGTGAAATAGGAAGCAAAACGTTTGTTTCGCCATGAATTCGAATTTCAAATTTGGGTGGGGAGCGAATGTATAATCCAAATCGCATAGCTATCTCTCACCCCATAATTAGTCTGAATCTTGGTTAATGATACTCGATTACCCAAAAAACAAAAAACTAATTAAATCTAAATGGCTCAAAGACAAGGAAAATGCCAAGAACGGACCGACAAATCTTTAACATGCATATATATGCATCTTTTTTTTTTGTCAAAGGCATATATATATATATATATATATATATGCATCTTACGATCGATAAGATTGGTCGATAGAGTTTGAAAGAAAAAAAACAAAAGAAAAAAGGGATTTAATCATTGAGCATCCATATCGATCGATCGAATCTACAGCAAAATATGAACACAATGTGAATACACTATTTATAAAAAGGGGGGAGAGAGAGAAGGGGGGGGGGGGGGT